CCCAGAAGCCCCAGTCCACTTCCTGGGCACCACCAGAAGGACACAGAGCAACTGGATAGATCCCAGTGCTCCATATTTTCTGCTGCTGGAGTTACTGGGAGCCCTCCTCCAGCTGGGATGCTGTATCTCTATTAAACTGAGGTCTCTAAAAGCCTCTGAATTAATGATTGTGCTTTTCAGCTGAGCCAAGGGGACAGTGGCAGTCCTGCAAAGCACAGGGTCTTTGGCTTGTTGGAAACTTGCAGGTGTCCTTTGATTTCCACAGAGTCCCCATGGCCACTCCAGGTGGAAGCTGGACCTGCCTGGAGAGGGTTTGTGGGTGTTTGCTTGGGAAGAACCCCCTGTGCTCACCCTGGCCAGGGTCTTGCCTCTGCACCTTCAAACCTGAGCTTTGCAAACAGCTTTTGATAAAGGATGAGAGGCCAGAGCCAGGCTGGGCTGATTCTTGTCACTTCTGGACTCTCCAGGAGCTGGTCTGGATGTACAGCAGCAGAAATGGGCAAAAAACTGGTCCTGAGTAATTACAGCAGCAGAAATGGGCAAAAAACTGGTCCTGAGTAATTACAGCAGCAGAAATGGGCAAAAAAAATGGTCCTGAGTAATTGCAGGTGGTATCCAACCAGCCCTGAGCCCATGGCAGGGGTCAATATTGCCAGGGAAATGAATCCACTGCTTGTTTGCTGATTTATTTACAGGTTTCTGGGTGCCTTTGGCTTTTCCACCATGAGCTGGTGGCCAGCAGAATGTAAATGTGAAAACTTTTGGTGTTGGTGCTTGGCTGGTTGAGTTGAGGGGGTGAGGAAAGGGTGAGGAGGAGAAAGAAGGAGAAAACATTCCTCAAATACACTGTGACAAGGCCAGGGCCAGCGTGGGGTGGGATGTAACCACAGCAGCCCTGAGGTTTGTGGAGATGTGCCAGGGTTGGGGGGAGCTTGTGCATTTACAACAAGCCCTTCTCCCCTTCCCAGCATGAGAAATTAAAAAAAAAAAACAACGTACAAAACAACCCCTATTAAAATGTACAGACTCTACCAACAATTCTGCTTAATTTTATTTTGGGGTTTGTCTTCTTTTTTCCATTTTGGTCAATTTGAGCAGTGAAAATGTCTCTCTTTAGCCAGCTTCATGTCAGTAACCAGCAGTAAAAATTCCAAGGATCTCAGTCCTGGTGTGGCAGCCCAGGTTTGTTCATATCAAAGAGTTTTAATTGAACCTGGAATGAACCCCCAAGAAACCATTACTGTTCTCATTAGGTGATGAAGTATCTCTTTCTTGTAAAAGCATCAAATTTGGGGTGGGGAGACCTTTTAAAAAGCCATCGGTACTCACTTGTGTCGGTGTGTCCTGACCAGCATCGAGCCTCACGTCATTGTTAATGATGAATTAACAGCTCACTTCTAATTGTCAGGAATAATTGTTGGATGCACATGATATTTCCTTGTAATTCCTCTCGTTCGTGCTCAGCCTTCCCTCGTGGTGAGGTGAGGCAGCTCCTCTTGGATTATTTGTACCTTTTGTGTTGTCAGTGCAGCTGCCCACTGCAGAATCCCCCCAGCCCACCCTTCCCTCTGTCCCTGCACCCTTGGGAGCAGAGCTCTGCCCTTCCCACTGGAAAACTCTGCAACACAGAGCAAATCAGAGAGAACTGCGGGTTTTCAGCAGACAAAACCCAAGCCGGACCCTCTTTAGTCGATGTGAATAAATTGTCTCCAGCTCCAAGGGGAAGAGTTGCCTTCCCGAATTTCTGCTCGGTGCCTGTCCCAAGGTTATCCCTGCCCGGCGTGAGGGCACTGCAGTGGGCAGGACACTGACAGCACATCGTGTCCCTGCCTACTGAAACCACGAGCACAGGTTTGTGGCCTTATTGCAGGCTCTGGGAGCTGGAAAACTGCTGGCTCGTCCCAGGAAAAGCTTGGATTCCAGCTGGGCAGTGGCTGGCTGGGGATGAGGGGCGGTGCTGGCTGCAGCCCTGGGCTCTGCCTTGCCTTTCCTCTGCACCATGGGACAATGTCCCAGTGTGTGGTGTCCCTTGGGAGCAGGTCAGAGCACACCAGCCCCCGGGATAAAGGGAACCCTCCAGCCCTGAGGCAGGGATGAGTTTCTGGTGGCCAAGCCCAGCAGGAAACTCTCCCAGAGGCAGAGCCTGCCCTGTGCTCGCCCTGCCGGGGCTCTGAGCCCCATGTCACGCTGGCCAGGCTCAGGACAGGGTGGGAATGAATCCTCCCCATTCCCTGCCTCCCGTCCTACCTGATTCCCCAGGAATGAGGCCATCCCACAGCAATCAGGACAGCGCCTTGTTTGGCTGTCAGTGTTGTCATGAGCCTTTTAACTTGACTGGGAAAGTTGATCTCAAAGGAAAATGTACAGTTATCATTCAATTATGGTTAAATCAAGCCCCTTCGATGCACTTTATGACCGAGTGAAAACAAATCAATGCTGTTATTGCACTGTATCTCTATTGTGTATAATATTATACATTCATCTGTAAGAGTAATTTATTTTTATTACTGTAAATAAAACTGTTAAAGTGATTTGTCAAGAGGATATCCAAAAACAGGGGGAGGGGGGGTTAAAATTAAAACCTTTGAAGACCTGGGCTGCTGTCCCAGGTGTGTGCCACGCTCTGTGTGTCTGTGTTTTTATTCCAGAGTCCAGAACAGGTCTCTGCTTTCCCTCCCCCGGGCTCTGTGTTTGCCCTGGGATCAGGAGGAGCTGGATGAGGACAAGAACTGCTGGAGACGTGGAGGGGTTGGGAAGGAGCAGCTCCTGATGCTCGGAGCCTCCGAGCACAGACAGAGCTTCCCATAAGCAAAGCAGCCTCTGCCTTCTGATAAGCCAGGGATTAAATACCCTGGGGAATTAACTGATCTTTGAGGGCTTGATTCTCCAAGTGAACGTTTCAGAGACATCACAGCTTTTTGCTGCTCCTTCCATGCCCTGCCTCTAACAGAGGAGGGAACATCACAGGGCTGATTAACCCACAGCAAAGAACAAGTTGACAAAAAGCCAAACCCGAATCTACTGTAACCTCTTAAAATCTTTATTAATTTTTTTCCTTTTTTTTTTTTTCCTTTTCTTTTAAATTTAATTAGCACATGCATAAAGTGTCAACAGTTTGGGGTTAAGATGACATTTCTTGAACAAATGTAGTTACAAGGGGTGCCTCGGATGGATCCAGGTTTTCCTCTCTACCCTGTACAGAGGGAAGCTCGAGCTGCCACCGCCGTCGTCCCTAAATTCCCATCCTCGTGTCACCACAGGCAGAACCCACAACACTGGGGAGAAATACACTTGTTCACACGTAGCAACTGGGTAGGGGAGATAGATACGGGCAGCAACATCTACTCACCTACTGACTAAGTGCACATGGTTAAAGACCCCACCAGACAGTGAACTCCTCCTTCCTGAACTCAGCTTTGTAATAAAATGGGAATCTGTCATGGCCTGGAGTGGGTGATCCTCCCTTGGGAAGGTGCCTGTCTCCCATCAGCTCCTTCTAGCAGGTAGCAAATCTAAGGAGACAGAGGAATTCTTCTGCTGCGATTAAAACCCGAGCCTTTTGCAGGAACATTGGGGCTGCCGCTGAGGTGTCCTTGTCCCCTCCGTGCCACCCCTGCAGAGCTGGAGCCAACTTCCACAAAGAGCAGCCCAAGCCCTGGCCCTGGGCTCTGTGTGTGATCAGCTGGTGCCAAAAGGGGAGAAAACTGCTTTTTAAACGCCCATCTGGAGCTGGCTGCTCACCGATGCTCTGCTTTGGGAGGGCTGGTGCCCCAATGCTCCAAGAGGTCTCCTGAGCTCAGAATTTGGGTAGTGCAGAGAGGTTTGGGGGGTCTGAGGTGCCTTGATCTGCAGGGCACAGGAAATGATCCTCACCTGCCTTCAATTGCTCCCAAAATAACTCTCCTACAGCACCTGGCCTCAGCCAGAGGTGTTGGTGCTCCTGCTGGCTCCAAAGAGGATGGAAAACTGGAATGAGATGGCTCCGGTCCTGCTGCAGCAGCTGGGCTGGGATAGTGGGAGAGGAGGAGGAGGAGGAAGGCTCTCCTGAATGCTTACCCCATGACAGCAGCAACCCACATCGAGGTGGTGACAGGGTTTGTCCCCTCCCCACATCCCCCATGTCCTCTGGGGACTGCTCCTGCTCCTCCAGGCTGCTGGAGCAGATTCCCTTGACTTAGCCAAGACTGGAGTGAAAACTGCTCCCCAATCCTCTCGTGTGGAAGGAGGGATCCCAGAGGGTCCCACGGGGTCTGGGCAGCTCCAGGTTTCCAGCCCAGGTGAGCTCTGTCCATTCCCAGCACAGCAGCACCACCCACCCCAGGAGCTCCCTGGCAGTGCCACAGGGACCTCCAGGAAAGGCACTTGTGTCATAAGGAGCTGCCCTGGCCCCGTGGTGATCCCAGCAGGAATTCTGGATCCAAGCCCTCCGTGTGGCAGGGCACAGCTGAAAGCAGAGGGGAGGAAGGTGCCAGCACAGCTCAGCATCACCCCAAACTCACACCCTGCTTCAGATCCCCCCAGCAAGTCAGGCAGCCCCAAAATTCAGGAAGTCTGTGGAGGTGAGGAGCCATCAGCCCCAAAAGGTCCTGAGAATGCATTTGGGAGAAAAGGGGGTTTTGGATTTGAGCAGGTTGGGTGGGATTTGGGGCAAGCTGGTCTCATGGAATGTGTCCCCATGGCTGTCCCCAGGCTGGAAATCCAAACCATTCTGGGATTCTATGATTTGCTTCCTTTACCTGATCTGCTCTGAGCCGAGACAAAAAGCACCAGGAAGAGCAGCCCCATTTGTGGAAAACTGGCCAGAACTACAGATAGAGCTGAAAAACCTCAGTGTAAAATTAAATTTGGAGGGGGAGCAGTGCAGGGAGTGTTAATAATCATAACTCTGATTTTTGGAGACCTGGCAGAGCTCTGCCAATGCTGCCAGCAGGAAATCACCAGCACTCCATGGGCATCACAGAAATGTCCCTGGCTCCAAGACCTCTTCGTTTTTAACACGAGACTTTTGTGGTTTTTCCATGGAGTCAATAATCCCAACGGAGGCACCAGGATTGCAGCAGCACCACTAAGAGGTGAAAATCAGAGAGGGTTTGAAACGCTTGAGCTGGGGAGGGGCCTCCAGGCACAAAAGCACCTCCTGTGGTAGCAGGAGCTCCTCTCCTGGCTGCTTTGGGGGTGATGTGATTATTGATTTCCCTTAAACATCACTTTCCTGAATTTTTGGAAGTGGTTCTGGTGGCACCTGCTTCGTTCTGTTGCTGTGTCTGACCTTCCCTTGAGGGAAGGAAAGGGAACAGTTTATCCTTCTGGAAATCACGTGTGAGTTGTTTGTTTGCTTTTTACATTTTGGGTGGGAGGGGTTTATTTGTTTGCTTATTTTTAGATTTTTTTTTTTCAATTTAATTTTTTAGATTTCTCAACTGAGCTACCCCAAATTTACTCCAAAGGGTAAATTTTAAATTGTCCACCTCAGTGGCTTACTCACTACAGCCTGTGGATCACGAATGGCCCTGAGGAGCTGTTTTCTTTTAACTATTGAAATACAGCAGAAACAGCTGCGAGTTCACATCCTCCCCTCCCAGGTGTTTATTCTGCAGCATGTTTTATCTTTATTCTATTTGAGGATCAACACCAAAACCAAGGGGGAGCTGAAGCAGCTGCCGTGGCTGCTGGGGGATGCTTTGGGGCTGTAACCCCCCAGGATTAGCCATGGAGGGGATGAGGGAGAATCACAAACGTGCCAGAAATGCCCTGTGGAGCTCTCCCACGGCAGAGCCTCTGTGACCTGAGCTTCCCCATCCTCACCTCCAGAAAACTTTCCCTGAGACCTGACTTTGCTCTTTCTTGCCACAGCTCAATCCCACACTGACCTGGAGAACAGATTTATTTCATCACTGACCTGGAGAACAGATTTATTCCCCCCACTGCCCTTTGTGGCTTTGCACAGGGTTTGACCTGGCTGAGGTTTTGCAGGATTTGACCTGGCTGAGGTTTCCCCTGTGCAGGCTGATGTGATCATAACCAATCTAAAATGCTGGGCTGGTTTTTTTTCTGCCTCATTTTCTCCTCTCTGCACTCTTAACCTTAGACAGAACCGAGTGCTGGAATTACCACTGAGCTGAAAATCCCCCTGGGGCCAGCCCAGCCCCCTGGCATTGCCACCGTGGGAAAAGCGTGCAGGGAAAGGCTCCTTTCACACCCTCTTGGGCTCACAAAAACCAGGGGGAGCTTTAATCGTGTACCTGGGAAGAGTGAGAGGTTAGAGGCACCTGTGGGAAGATCCCTGCTGAGAGATGCCCGTGGGAAGGTGAAGCATCACCGGTGCTGTGGTGGCCTCAGGGTGCTGTCACTCTGTAATTCAGACACCAATTTGGGTAATGTCACATCAGCTCTGCCTTCAGGGGACACTTTCCATGCAGTTCTTGCCTGGGGGATTCCCTCAGCAAGAGCCCAACCCTTGCTGCAGGCTCTGCCTCAGGCTGGTGACACCATCGGGGTGGTGTCCCCCTTTGGGGACATCCCATTGTCCCACCCTGCCTGTGGGCACAGCTCTGAAGGCTTTGGGGCAAACACCTCCTCCCTGAAGCTCTTTACTGGAGGGTTTGGTTGTTTTGTTTGTTTTTTTTTTTTTAATTCCCTCCACCAGCAAAATGCAGGCACGTTTTTCACCCAGAGAAGGTGGGGCTTGAGAGGGTGAGCCTAGAAAACCTGGGGTTTGTCCAACAAAAAATCAGATTTACACAAAACAAAAAAACAAAAAACAAACAAAAAAAACCCCAAAAAACAAAACAAAACAAAAAAAAAACAAAACAGAAAAACAACAAAACCCCTTTGATTCTCAATAATATTGAACTACTTCTTCAAAGTCCAGGTTTGGGTTAGAGGTGTCTGGAAGAGGATATTTTCCAGAGGCTGTCACATGAATTGAGGCCAGCCCTGGGGGTCACCAGGTGGCTGCAGTGACGCTCCCAGGCACCATCCCCACCCCATCCTGCTCATCCCAGAGCTGTGCAGGGGCTGGGAAAGGCTCACCCCAGGGTGCAGGGACCTGCTCAGGGACAAACCCAGCGGGGCTTGGCTCTCCTGGACTTGGCTCAGGCACTTCTGCGGGGGAGTGGAGGGGCAGGAGGGCCCTGGTGCTGTCACCAGCGGGGGGACGTGGCTGTGGTGTTGGTCAGGGGTCACCTAGGGAAGGGACAGCAGTCCTCGAGGTGCTGCTGCCCAGTCAAGGGGGAATTTATGGGTGAGTGAGCATTTGAGGCTTCTAAAGTGCAGTGCAGGTTACATGGTCTTTGCTGTAGACTGTAAACTCCTCAGGACAGACTCCTTGCCCTTACTTTTATTTTATTTTATTTTTTAATCTGTAAAGTGACATTCCAGCTGAGAAAACCTTACTCCTAAATAACTACTACTACAGGAAAAAAAAAAAAAAAAGGAATCTCTGTGAAAGGAACAGCCTGTGCTCCCCTTGCCAGCATCCCATCATGGGGAGTGCTTCCCATGGCCATCCATGGTCACAGGGAAGTGGCAGGGAGTTCCTGCCAGCTGTGGACCTCTGGAATGCACCCTCCAAAATGCCACCTCCAGTGCTACAACCTGCCTCCCTCCAAGCCAAACTTCCATGTGTCATTAAAGCTGAGGTGTTAATTCAGGCTCAGGGGAGTCTGCAAAGCTTCTGTTCAGGCTGTTGGGAGTCTGGAAAGGGAGACAGAGATGGAAAAGTTGCTGGGAGGAAATTTGAGGGCTCTTGTGTGGGAAGAGCTCTCTGAAGAAGCCAAGTTCAGCCTTAAGTTTGTCTCTGGAGTAAAACCTTCCCAAGATGAAGCAGCTGCAAAAGCAGGAGCTCTGGTGGGATGGGATGATTGCTCCTCTCTTTCCCCAGGTGGGAAATAAATTAGAAACTGCCCAACCCATTCTTCCTTCAGGACATTGATCCTTTAAGAGCCACCAGCCAGCTCCAGTGGTCACTCTGAACCAGGGAGACACGGAGGGCAATGCCAGGAGTGAACACTGCAGGACTTCTCCAACCTCCAGAAACCTGAGCAGGATCAGCCTTCAACCCTGCTGTACCATCAGAAAAATCCCTTTTCAGATGAACCTGGGATGTCCAGGAGGTTCCTGATGGACCTCGAGGTCCTCCATTAATATCTCCAAACAGAACCAAAATGGATCTCCCTGTTCCACTGACTCCAGCCCAATCCATTTTTGTGTTCCCAGGATATTCCCCCCCTCGTTGACAGCCATATTTATTATTTTTTAATCTATGCCCATAAATTGGCAAGCAGGGGGAAGCAGATAAAATGGGAAAAGGAACTCTCAGGAGATCAGTTGGGCTCATTAAATGTTTGGCACTCTGTGATTATCCTTTGGCAATGAAATGCCACTGCTGTATTTTAGCAGAGAACACGATACCTTAATGTACAGGAGAATCTCCTCAGCCCAATTCTGGTACTCTTGAGAGAGGAGAAATTCAATCATCTGTGACCTGGATCGTATTTTTTAACGTCTGCCAAGCTAGATAAAATATTTAAATATTCACTTTTATATCAGCCCACATGAGGATTTGAGCATTTCAGGTTGTGTAACGCAGCATGGCCTACTTTGGGGAGAATGTACAGAAATAGGCACATATGTACAAAATACTGAGTGTGCAGCATGTGGGGCAGACAGACAGTGTTAATTAGTGTGGCACAATCCCAGCTGCACCAGCCCTGAGCAGCCAAAGAATTTGATGTCACTTCTGTTGGATTTCAAAGGTCACCTGAGCAAAAACCAGGTGAATCTGCCTCAAATACAGGTGGTCAAGCACGGCTGAGTCCCTCAAGTGAAGGGACACTGAAGGTGGGGTGGCTCTCATGGGATTGGGGCTCTCATGTGGCATTAATGTTCCAGCCTGGGGATCCTGGAGGTCTTTTCCCAGCTGAAGGATTCCTGGTGCTGCTGCTGGGAGGGTGGGGAAGAGCTGCCTGTGCCCTGCTCAGACCTGAAATGGTGTCCAAACCCACCCCGAGGTTGCTTCACCAGCTCCACCTCTCTGGGATGAGCATGGGGGATCCCACCCCTGCTACCAGGACAGCTTAAGTGTTTCCAGGGCACTTCTGGTCCCTGCATGAGGGGGATTGTGACATTTCCAGCCTGCTGGGAGGTCATGGTGCTGCTGGCTGGCTTTGCAGCTGAGAATGTGAGCTGGGTTTGTGTTACCAGGGGATTTCCTTCTGCAGAACAGGATGGGTGAGGGTGTGCTGGGATTGCTGGGATGCCCAACAAGGACGTGGTGTAAGAACCTAAAGGTGTGAGGAAATGGGGGTGAGCCTTTCCTGCCCCCCTGGGGCTGCCAGCTGTGCATCTGCTCTGCAGATGTGGCCCATGCACAGGGCAGGCAAGCCTTGAGTGACCTAAATGACCTTTAGGGTCCCTTCCAACCTTCCTGTGATTGCCAAGCACTTTTCCTGCCAGCTGCCAGTCCCAGCACAGGTGCTGTGAGGTGACAGGGACAGCCCTGACCTGCCACACACCCACGGAGCCCTGTCCCAATTACCACGGTCCCTTGTGACACGCACAAAGCAACTGGTGCATGAAAAGAAGGGACCTGATCTTTTTAGGGGCACTGGGCTGCTCTCCAGTTCCCACCAGGGCTGGCTCAGCTCTGCAGAACTGGGACAGACCCAGAGCCAAGGGATGAGCCAGCCCTGTGTGCCCTGAGCCCTTTCCTGGGGCCACTGGGACTCCTCAGCCCTGCTGGGTCCCCACAGTGACTCTGCAGCCCCTGGACCTCTGTAACAGATAAGAGCAGCTCCACCAGCCCCTGCTATTTCCTCTCTCTCACAAAGGGTTATTACTCCTCCTAAATTACCTAAATAAACCAAATTTCCTCTTTGCTTACAGACAGTTTTGTGATTGTGTCTACGTTAATAACGCTCCACCAGAAACTCCACCTTAAATGTTGCCCTGAATTTTTCACACTGCTTCCTTCTGAACCTGCTCCAGGCCAAACCCCAGCTGCCTTCCCAAGGAAAGCAGGTCCTGGGCATTGCAGGGCTCTCTAGAAAAATCCCTTGTAGCCATTTCAAAGCATCTCAGAGGGTCAACATCAGAACCAAGAGCTCTCAGGGAACACCAGAATTTCCTGCAGGGCTCAGTGTCTCCCTGCCTCCTCTGGTCACTCCTGCTCCTTGGGTTTTGCAGATGAGTTATTCCATGTATCCATGAGCATTGCTCTGCTGCTTCTTGCCTTGCCCTTTCCCACATCCCAATTCCATTCTGCACCCTTGCTCAAGCCCACCAGGCACCACAGCTCCCAGCCCGGGTGTGGAGGTGTGGAAGGTGTCACATCCAAGGGACAAGAGACCTTTTTGTGCCACTCAAGAGAAGGGAGAGCTCCTGGGGGCATTTCCCAGCAGCTGGGCAGAGGACTCACCACATCTGGCCGTGAGGGGTTTGTCACCGGGGGAAAATGAGCAGGGACATTGTTCAACACCAGCATTTCCCAGGAAATCAGAAACCTGATCTAGTGGAAGGTGTCCCTGCCCTCGGCAGGGGGTTGGAATGAGATGGTCTTTAAGGTCTCTTTTATCCCAAATCATTCTAGGATTTTTGTGAATGTAAGGGTCAGCATTTGGGTCTCAGCCACATCCTCCCACCTTTTTTACAGGTCTGGCTGTTTCTATATAGTCAAAATACTGCTGAAGTAGCCATCACCTACAGGGCTACTGGGAGAGGCAGGAATTGGACACAGAGCTCAGGCTTTCCCCACTCAGGAACTCGTGGTATAGGGGAACCCAGGAGAGGGTCTGGGGACATCACACTGGCCAAACCACAGTTGGTCCTGGCCCATTTTCCACGGGTGGGGAACTTCTCCCAACTTTCTGCAGGTTTTCACACCTGCCTGTGGTGTTTCCAGTATTTCCCACCCCTTTGCTCTGCCTTCCTCTTTGCCTTCTTCCTTTGTAGTACTGTGAAAGGCTTTCCGTGGACCACACTCTGTTTTGATTGATCAGGTAAAACCCTGTTTTCCCAACTGATTTGATGGGAGAACAGATATTTTCAGAGCTGGTTACCCAGCTCCTCCATCAGTGTCCAAATGTGGGACAGGGGACAGAGCAGGATCAGGTAGGGGGAATCAGTGCCTGGGTCTGAGCTGATCTCAATTGTACAGGCACAGTTTGTGGGGCTGCAAAGTGCAAGTTGAGAGTTTACCTGAAAGCAGCAGATTGTCTGATTCACTTTTTCTCAAATAACACTGAAATGGTGTCACACTAAGGCCAAGGAGAGCTGGGGCTTGGGGAAGCTCTCTGGACACCTCTACTCCTTTCTGGAAAAGGCAGGAGAAGCCTAGACAAGGCTGTGTCTCCCTGCCAGCCACACCAGCCTTGCCTTCCCCCTTTGCTCCTAGAAAATAGACACAGGCTAAGGTCACCAGCACCCGGGGCTGCTCATGCAACCCGGCCTGGTGGAAGGTGCCTCAGTTCTAGTTGGACTAGATGGGCTTTAAAAGTGCTTTCCAACCTGAAGGTTCCATGATTTTCCAGGGAGCAACAACACAGTGGTGTCACTGCTCCTAAACGTGGTGCCTTGCTCCGTAGGGAAGGAGGCTCCTGCCCACACGCAGCCTTTGGAGCTGCCTGACCCCAAAAACCACCAGCAGCAATGTCCCCAAGCCCACAGGGCCACCCCTGCCCTCCCGTGGTGGCACCAGCTGTGCAAACAAGGCTTCTTCTCCAGGAGCTTCTCGTTATCACAATTAACATTTAGCTGAAAAAGCACTGCTGCCTCTGGGGCTCCCTTCTCTCTCAAAGCACGCTCAGGGCCAGTCTCCGGTCCTGCTCCAGGTGTAAATCTGGAGTAATCCTATTAACCTGCCTTCAGAGAATTTTGGAAGTCATTAACCGTGAAGGTGCTGCTAATTTCTGGTCTCACTGCCTCCGAGGTGTATCCTACCAGTGCTGCTGCTGCCCGCAGGGTTTTGGACATAGTGTAAAAGCAAAGCTCCTGGCCGGGCGGGGCCGCCGCAGCCGCGTTGGGGAAGGTGCCTATACACACCTGGGAGGGAGCGGGGGGCTCCGAGCCAGCCCAGCCCGGGGCCCCTCAGTCCGACCACTCGTTCTCGTCCAGCTCCGAGTCGTCGTCGGACTCGCTGTACTCCACCGCGATCCGGCGCGACAGGATGGTCGCCACGTCATTGCCCACGGGCTCTTTTTTGGCCTCTTGTTCCCACTGCTCCTGGACTTTCCGGAGTTGGATTCCTACGGGAAAAGGGGGGAGGCTTTAGGGGGAGTGCACTCAATGTGCAGCATCCCCTCAGTTATAAACTATTGGCTGAGATAAGAGGGCTGCTGCCCCAGTGGTTACGGAATTATATGGGATTAATGGGATAGGATTGGTAGGAAAGGAGACAATGGCTGTAAACTGAGAGAGAGTAGGCTCAGATTGGATGGCAGGAAGAAATTCTTCCCTGTCAGGGTGGGGACTCTTCCATGGCACAGGTTCCCGGAACAGCCGTGGCTGCCCCTGGATCCCTGGAAGTGTCCAAGGCCAGGTTGGACAGGACTTGGAGCAGCCTGGGACAGTGTCAGGGGATGGGATGAGATGATCTCTAAGTTCCCAAACCAGTCTGTAATTCTGTGATTCAATGGACAGGACCTGGAGCAGCCTGGGATAGTGGGAAGTGTCCTTGCCCAAAGCAGGGGGTGGAATAGGGTGAGCTTTAAGGTCCCTTCCAACCCAAACCATTCTAGGATTTTATGAATAAATATGATTACAAAGCTGTATCATAGAATAAAGTTCCTCCTCTGCTTCCACTGAGCCTGAAGATACTGAACCTTCTGGAAGGTTAAATTTACCATTTGACCTGGCAATTTGCAGGAAAGGGAAACGTGAGAGACCTTGGAGCTCATCACCCACTGCAGCCTGGGAGGAAACCACATACCTGAGAACAGCAAACTGTGGGGCCACCACGGGTCCCCTACCTGTACACCAGATTTACTCCTCCCACAGGGTGCCACCATCCTCACCCTGGCCACAGCCATCCCCTGGCCACCAAGCGCTCGTGTTGCCCTGGGTGTGGCCAGTGCCACGCTGTGAATGGGTGGGTCACTCACTCACTCACTCACTCATTCACTCACTCACTCACTCACTCACTCGCTCACTCACTCACTCACTCACTCACTCACTCACTCACTCACTCACTCGCTCATTCACTCACTCACTCACTCACTCACTCACTCACTCACTCACTCATTCACTCATTCACTCGCTCGCTCGCTCATTCACTCACTCACTCACTCACTCACTCACTCACTCACTCACTCACTCACTCACTCACTCACTCTCTCCCTCGCTCACCCCTGCGGATGGCTGCCAGCAGGTCGCTCCGGGCATCGCTCATGGGCATCAGCGGGATCTGCGGCTTGCGCGGCTCCAGGGCGGGCGCGGGCGGCGATGCGGAGTGCGCTGGAGAGGCGGACACGGCCGGGGGCCCGGGCGGAGGGGGCGGCGGGGCCACCGGGGGTCCCATGGGGCCGGTCTGCGGTGGGGAGGCGGAGTAGGGCCCGGGGGGCGCTGGGGGCGGTGATGGAGCGTAGGATGGGGGTGCTGCCGAGCCGGGGGCCAGCGCGGGGGGAGCCGAGATGGGGCTGTCGAAGGCGGTCTGTGCCGATGGGATGACGGGCGGAGGAGGCGGCGGGGCCGGCGGGACGAAGTACTCGGCCATGGGCACCGGCTGAGGGCTGCAACGGGGGGCAGAGGGCTCGGTGACACGAGAATCACGGGGTAAAGGGATGGGCTGAGTTAGAAGGGACCCGCAGGGATCATCCCGTCCGTGCACAGGGCATCCCCAACAATCCCACCCTGTGCATCCCTGAGAGCTTTGTCCAAACGCTCCTGGAGCTCTGGCAGGTTTGGTGCTGTGACCGTTCCCTGGGGAGCCTGGGCAGTGCCCCACGACCCTCTGAGGGAAGAATCTTTTCCTGATATCCAACCTAAACCTCCTCTGACACAGCTTCAGGCCATTCTCTCGGGTCTTGTCACTGGTCATCACAAAGAAGAGATCAGCATCTGGCTTCCCTCTGCTTCTCCTCAAAGATTTGTGGACAAAATGCCCTTAACCACTCCTCCCACAGCTTCTCCTCAAACCCCTCACCATCTTCATGGCCTCCTTTGGACACTGTCTAATATCTCAACGCCTTTTTTATATTGTGGTGCCCAAAATTGCCCCCAATAGTCAAGGTGAGGCTGCCCCAGTGCAGACCAGAGGAGGACAATCTCCTGCCCTTGCCTGATGCCCTCTAGGGCACAGCTGGCCCTCCAAAGCACTGCTGACTGAAGGATGGCACCCATTACCAGCACCCACTGCCCACCCCAGCACCCACTGCCCATCCTAGCACCCATTACCCATCCCAGCACCCATTACCCATCCCAGCACCCATTACCCATCCTAGCACCCACTACCCATCCCAACACCCATTACCCATCCCAGCACCCATTACCCATCCCAGCACCCATCACCCATCCCAGCACCCAACTGGCTCTGCTCTGGCTTGGCTCTGAACCCCAATAAAAGCTCTGTCCCAGGGTCAGAATGGTGGTGCAGGTCTGCTGGTGGGATGGGCTACGTGGTGGAAAGCAGGCAACATCCCAGGGGAAAACCCTCCATCCACCCTGCTCTCTTATCTGGGATGATGTTACCCCAAAAGCTTTCACCTTGAGTCTCACCAGCAGTTTTGGACTGTGAAAGCTGCAGAGGAGGGCTCTCCCTGCTCCAGAAATGGGGGGGTCAGACCCCCACCAAGCCTCCCTTCCCTTGGACACCCCTCCAGCAGCGAGCAGGTTGAAGCTTTACCCGTAATCCTTGACGAGGTGGGGTCTGGGCCCGTTGAGGACGGCCTCGGGGGGCGGCGGGGCGTGGGGCTGCTGCAGCCGGGTCAGGCTGTTCTGCCTGCTGCCCGTGGCTGGCCTGAACACGTGCTCCGGGGGGTTGGTGGCTGCCAGCACCCCCTCCTTGTGCTCTGCTGGGGCCAGGTGGGCTGCAGGGGCCAGCAGCTGAGCGGGGTGGTTGGGGCTGGCCGGGTACGAGTGGTCGGCAGCGTCCGAGGCGTAGGATCTGCAGAGCAGGAAAACCCAAATGTTGTAACCTGAGTATTTGGGGGAGGTGTGGGTTTAGGAGTGTTTTGGGGTTGAGGCAACAAAACAAGGAAAGGCCGTGAAAATATCGATGTACAAGACAGCAGAGTGAGAGCAGAGGGGAGGAGGACACAACGGAGCTGAACCATTCTCTTCCCTTAGCTGCAAAGCAGAAAGTGCTCCAGTTTTATCCCAGTCCTTTTATCCTATTGGTTTTATCCCAATGCCAAGGCTCCTCCTGAGGTGCAGGTGACACCCTGGGGACACCAGCCATCCATGAAGCTGCCTGGCCACCACGAAGCTACCCAACCCTGCTGTGGGCAACACAACCCCCACGACGACGGAAGAGCAAAGCAAAGGAGAGCCGTGAGCTGAAGGTGTAGGAGGTAGAACCTGCCTATTATCTGGGGACAGTGATCCTTCCGATGACGCCATGTGATAGGGGGATGGTGAGAACCTGTTATCCGGCCGGAATTCTTTATCATACGCCATCATGTTCCACTCCAGGCGCCGGTTCCGGGCTTTCCTCACTTTCTTCACCTCCCGGGTGGAATCCTCCACCAGCCGCTGTTCCTGTGGGAAAGCAAAGTCACGGCTCCACCTCCAGCCCGGCTCCTCCTGACCAGGAGTCATCCCTGGGGACCATCACCCAGCCCTGGGACATGCACCCAGTGCAGGGGAGAGGAGCACAAAGGATGTACCGGGAGGTGACTGTCCCCCAGCTGTCCCCACCCACCTTCTGCCTGCGCTTCTCCTTCCTCTTGTCTTCTGTCGCCTGCAGCATTTTCTCCTTCCATAAGTTGAAGAAGTAGGAGGGGTCGGTGTAGAATTTGAGGCCATCCTTCTTATCATCCCTGGGGGTTGGGAAGGGAGGAGAGAGGGTTACCAGCCACAGGAGAAGACCCTCTGCTCCCCTTCCCAAGGGCTTTGGTACAACCACGACCGTGCTGCCCCAGCACAGACACATCTAACACAGCAGTCACCACCTGCAGGGTGTGGACACACCTCCCGAGCACCCCATGCAATGGCGGTGGCAAATGGGGACAAATGCCTGATCCTTGTCATGGAAAGGACCCCCTGCAGGAGGCTCCTGTACCTGTAGGGTGTGAGGATGTTGAGTGGTGGGGGTTTGTCACAGCGCTGGTACATCTCCATCACCGGGTTGGGGATGGAGTTGCGGGACACGACCTGCTGGTTCTGCACCGTGGAGCTCTTGAAGGCTTTCCTCATGTTGATGTCTTGCAGAGAAACTGGGGGGGAACAGGAAAGACAAGGGATGCAGGGGTGGCCTCAGCCCGTCGAGTAAGGCATGGCAGGGGTGCCAAGAGCACATCTGGACACCACCCCAAACCAGCCCCAGTCC